ATAAGATGACAAGACAGCTGCGGTGGTAATGTGGTAATGGGCAAAACCACAGATATTTACCCACTGGCATCTAGGGTTGTTGACAGAACAGAATGCCCAAGTCAGCACAGACACTCAACCACAAGTCATTAACCCGCCCAGTCCACACCTTAGACATCCTAACTCACAGGGGGACTTCTATGATAATAACAGCAACTCATTATTGTCCATTCACAGCACCTGTTGCAAACTATACAAGGAAGATTTCTGCAACAGATTACAGACCAACATTTACAACTACATATTTGCACCCATCTAGCACTTTTATTGCAGATGAAATGATGCACATAAATTTGAAAAGAGTCACTTCTTGAGGAAACTTAATTTATGATTTCAGTGTTGCTGCAGTATCAAGGAACAAGCCTGATGGTATGCAGAATAACTCGCTGAAATTGGGGGGGGGGAGAGGGAGCATTGCAACCCCCTTCAGCTGGCAATAAAAAATTAGGATGCTAAAAGTTGATGTGACCAAAACGGAAATAAGTCTGTAGAGGCCAAGACAGTTACAATGGTTGGTCTTGGGGGGGATTAGTAGCCTCATGAGGCTATTTGTCCAAAACTAGTCTGAAAAGCCAATCCTAGGGTTGGGCACAAAAAATACATGTGAAGGCGAAGCACGTGAAATGAAGTAACAGCACAATATTAGTAGGTCTTGTAAATCAATCAACAAATTATCTATACCTAAATTATCTATACCTTGTCAAATTTTGCAACCAACTACAGAGCAAACTGCGTGGGCATATGTCGAATACATCTTGGGACATTTGGGTGGTTACAACGTCCCCAAATGTACGGTGTCTTGGGTTAAAGCGCATGATTCCTCACATTCATTTGTTCCCCCCCCAAAAAAAATGTAATTCAAATATTTTTGGAATTTTTTCTTCCAAATGCCCTTTATAAAAATAATAACTTCACAGTGAGTTCAGTACTGCAACCACTATATCTTCAACATAAGATATATTTGAAAAAAAAAATATCAGTTTCTGAAAGCAGCAATTGATCCATCCTACATACCTTAGATAGGAAACCCTAACCCTAAAACATCACCCCCCCCCCATTTACTGACAGTTTGATCCACAACTGTGAGACATTTGATCTTTCAACATTTTATTCAAATGATTTTAAGTACCATCAAATGACTTCCAATTTCTTCTTGAGTATGTGACAGCAGGTTGTTTTTTGTGTGGCCTTTTTGCCTTTGAGAAAGGTTCTGCTAGGATTGAAACATCAGGCCCTCCTACTTTTGTGCAGAGTGCACTTCGAAATTATCACTCCTCCTGCTTAAAACTACCGCAAGACAAGACAAATTCAACAGGGTACATCAGATTTCACTGAGTTTCCACTTAAAGAGGTTACTTTCAAACCCTTTTTTATCTGAAGTTAGAGTGATTTTCACTCTAAAAATGTCTAGTCCCTGCTTTTACTCATTGGAATGAAGAGAATATAGTGTCGCCATCCAAAGAAAATCTGGACACAGCATTTAGGGGTACAGTCCACTAATTCAAGCCCCACTGAAAACAGTGTGAAATCAGCACTGTTCAGGGCCCAATAACATGCACGCTAACATCCCTGAGATTTCTGAAATACAAATGAAATTCTTGTCTGGTCACTAATCTTTAAAGTTCTTTTCAAATTTTTTGTGGGTTAACCAATTACATATTTAATT